ATATTTAAGAGATGATATTATATAAAAATTAACAAAAAAATACAAGTTTAGTAAACTTGTATTTTATAAATAGGGGTAATTTTAAAAATTAACATTACATTCTCAGCAAAGTGCTTGTAAATCAAACGCTGTAATATTATCTTTTTTGTATTTTAATAATTATTTTACTTGTATACCAAACACTGTAATATTATTTTTCTTATAATCTCATTGCTTGTAATCATATTATTTGCAATCGTATTACTTGTAATCACATTGCATTGTAAAGTACCAAACGTCACCATATTTCTAAGTTGGTGGCTTACATAAAATTTCAAAATCTTGTTTCAAAAGTGCAGCTAAGTTAAGTGGTGGAATAAATCTATATAAGTGTGGAATACAAAAATGGTGTTGTTTCTCCTGTTAACGACAAAATAATATGAAAAATTAAAGTGGAAATAAAAATTACAAATATAGTAAAATAATTGGAGATGGTATTCTAAAAATAAATAAGTCAGGAAAATAAAAAATAACAGAAAATGAAGATCAAGAAAATGACAAAGAAAGAAGAGAAAAACTGATGAAAAAAAAATACAGATAATTTTAGAGATTATGAGATATAATATGAGTCTATTGTTCAGACATAACATGTTGTTGTCAATGCTAATTTATAATAAATTTAAATTTTATAAAATATAAGATATTGAATTCACAACAAAATCTCATCATGAATAAAGACTCTGAGCTGAATGCAATTATATATCATGAATACTCAAAGAATAAGCACTTCTAGTAGAACGTTTAAAATGCAAATAAACAGAATATTAAATATACAATGGAAAGAAAGAGCTAACTTTGCAATAAGATCAAAATGATTTAATATATATTGATAGATGCTTCAAATACACAAATGCATGCATACCCAACGTATGTATGGAGGAAGAGAGAGATAAAAGAAATTGCTGTTGATCCTCGTTGAAGGCAGGCAGGGGAGCGTTAAAAAAATAATTATGAATGAAATATTGGATTAAATTATTTTCTATTCATCTTTATGCACAAACACTCATTATTTATTTATATTAATTTTTACCATACATTCCACAAACAATCTCTAAATAAAAAATTAAAAATTTCAACCTTAGTTGATGGTATCAGAAAACTCAACACTTCGAACAAATTGAGCCACACAAAACACCAAAGGCTCTCCCTTTCTCCCACTCTACCGCAAATCCGCTAACCACATTTCCTCACCAAAAAGGGCTTACAAAATTCATGACTATTACAAACATGGACATTCAAAATTAAAAAACATGAGCTATCAACAAAAATCTCGATCACCTAAAAATAAGATAATAAAAGCAAAAAAAAAAAAACC